CGTGCCAATACAGGATATGGGGAGAAGCGCCGGGGTGGGTAGGGGATACCACTGGCCTTCGCACCGTAAGTTGTGGTGAAGCATGGCGGTTGTCTGTCTGTTTCTGGATATAACTAGGTCAATAGTCATCTGTCATTGTGTCCTACAATACGTTCAAGGACGTTTTGCAGTTTTTATCTTTTCGTGATTTCTCGCATCTCGCTATTTAGAAGTCGTGTGCTTTGAAGTTCGCTTCGCCAAGCGGGGGGCGTTCTGCTTTCATGAGCTTTTCAAGCTGACCTTTTGACCTCGAAATGCTCAAATATTCGCATTTAGCTGAATTATCGAATGCCGAATTCAGTTTTCGAATATTCGAAAGCATTGCAATGCCTCCAGAAAAGGACACCTTACACTTACATGAACACTTGATAGTGCTCACTACGATGGACCTGGTAACAATTCGCTTTGCGTCCGTGTGACCGAGAAGTGTGATGTGCTCACACTGGGAGCGAGTGCCAGATATCTCAACTTCGTCACCAGGCTGGTACACCTCTGGTGTAGTAGTTATAGATGCAGTGGTAGTGGCAATTTTTTATAACTGGTGCGTCAACTGCAGCGGGTTTTGTTGCCTGCCTCTGGTGCAGTGAGCTTTCATGGGATCCATGTTGTAAACGCAGACCTTTTGAAGCGTGAATATCGTAGGCTTTGCCTACGATAAGCCTTTTGTGATTTAAGGGAAAGCTGTGAGCTTCGTTATCACCGCACAAAAACCCGCATTCATTCCTGACTAATCACGTAAATTGCTCAGCGCACCTGGGAGGAACATAACATAGTCATAACCGCACTTCCATTGTTCTTATTTCTCGTTGATAGTTCAAAAGAATTACAAATTAGCGCGGCTTTGAATTTCGGCCTTTCGTCTTTTTCGAAACATCTGCACTTCAAAGATTGCCGTATGCTGACGTTGAACCCACGCGCGGGTCCTGTTCTTTTTCCTTGTTTGTTAACAGAAAATGAAACACTGTGACCGAACATAATCATACCGGAGTGTGTATAGAAGACAAATGGAGAGTCATATTAGCACATGGTGGCATGGTAGTGGTGCAGTGAACCCAGCTTAATATTGCCGTGACAAGGATATAGTTATAGAAATTCACGTGGAAGCAAACACCACGTTAAGTTCCCGCAAGACAAGCTTCATGCCATCCGCAACACTCACATTATATTCCACGATGTTCCCCGCATGTTCAGGTCTGTTGGCCGACTTCTTATTATTGCGTGTTTACTGAATAGTTTGGCAGAGTTTGGAAGTCAGACCTCGGAGTGAGACCACGAGCATGAGAGGGTACGGAGACAGACCATGGAGTGTGGTTCCGACACACAACGACACATGGGTAGATGATAGGCACGAGTAGAAGATTGACCACGGAGTGTGGTTCCGGCACCTAACGACACATGCGTAGATAGTAGGCACGAGAAGTAGACAGACCGCGGAGTGTGGTTCCGGCACACAACGACACATGGGTAGATGATAGCCACGAGTAGAAGATTGACCACGGAGTGTGGTTCCGGCACCTAACGACACATGCGTAGATGATAGGCACGAGTAGAAGATTGACCACGGAGTGTGGTTCCGGCACCTAACGACACATGCGTAGATAGTAGGCACGAGAAGTAGACAGACCACGGAGTGTGGTTCCGACGCATGACGACACATGCGTAGATAGTAGGCACGAGTAGTAGATAGACCACGGAGTGTGGTCTCGGCGCATGACGACACATGCGTAGATAAAAGGCACGAGTAGAAGCGGGTAACCATTCAAGGCGAGAGTGCGAGGAAGACCGCAGGAATGGCCGATTTGGATGGGGATGTCAAATGGGGTGAAAGTTTCCCTTTAAGTCACGAGTAGTTATTTAAGCCAACATTGAGTGATCTCCCTTTTGGGATTGTCCGGTGTCGTGATATGACACAAGTTCGAAGTGATCCTTAGCTGCCGGGACTAATTCGTCCAGTGCACGGTGGGTCGAAGACAGCCACCAACTGGAACGGCCCGCCAAATTGTCTCTGCCTGGTTACTAGTCGTAGGCGACGGAGAGTCCGTGCGCTCTATTTGTTTTAGATTTGGTGATCGCCTGCGTCACATTGACTTTGACTGACATTGACATTGACATTGACACATTGGCATTGACACATTGACATTGACACATTGACATTGACACATTGACATTGACACATTGACATTGACACATTGACATTGACACATTGACATTGACACATTGACATTGACACATTGACATTGACACATTGACATTGACTGCAAGTCGGCGAAGACCATGTTCGGTGATCATATTTCGCTCCAGCACACCTCCCTTCCGCCACCTCCCCCTAAGGATCTCCAAGTTCCAGACACCGTATGGGAGAACTGGAAATATCACCGTAAAGGCCCCGTCAAATCATGAAGAATACTTACCGATACTTACCCAGTTTTGACTTTAGGTCAAATTGGAGACCACCAGGGGTCACGCAATGTCAAAACGGTCGTTCAGGTAGATGCAGTTAAATCCGTGTTAATACATTGTGACGGATACTAACGGCACGAGAAGAAGAGAAGTTCATCGCGACCATTTTTCTTCATCTACAAGGGTCGGTTCAAATCAGGTCACTGTTCAAAATTTATCTGCCAGTAGCCTACAAGAGATTTTTACGATATGCTCATGACCAACCTTAATTTATTAGGTGCAGCTGTGGGACATAAGTTCTTCCAGACAAAAAGCACCAATTTAGGATAACTTAGAGGTCAGGCGGGGTGATCTTAGGCCAAAGTTATAAGCCATCCAAATAAAATAATTAAGCGCTTCTCGGGCTAGGTCATCAGCACACTGGTTTCCTGTGCTAAGAAATAGTGTGTTGTACATCTACAGATTCTCAATATCGCATAGCTCTTGTATGCATTATGCATAGTCTCTTCCACGCATGACAATGTATTTTTAACCAACTGAAGGCAGGCACGTTGCTACGTAAAATTATGCGTCATCAGCTTGACAAACATGATAAGGAGGTAGTTACACGCGTCACACTCATTCAGCCTCTGAATCTGATAACGTGAGCTACGTAACTGCAAATATCAAGAACTAGACACGCATAACCAATACGACTGCCTCCCACCCTGTGCCGCTGTGCCCCAGGCAGCCGCCGTCCGTCACAGCAACATTGTCCGGAAGATGGACCTCGGGTCGATCCGCGAGGTGACCCGTTCTTTCCTCTATGAGAATAAGATCCATACAGAGACGTCGTTTGATTTGTTAAGTGAATTTAGTGAGTAGACGACGCTAAGTCAGCTATGAACCAGCCGCACCCGGAGTATCTTTCACCTTCTGGACACCAATATTATCAAAATCCCCTAAAAACGATGGGTGTATTTTTTGGTTATATTTCGTGCAGATAGCTAGCAATCTTTGGACTTCATTTTGAAAGGTTCCGTCACCCACCCATCCCGGATCTTCGCTGGCAGAAGTATGAGATAACGCCAATAGCAAACATTGCAACGCGTAGATGCGCCTCGAAAAAAACGATAGCGATCTCTTAAAAAGCATCTTTGGAAACCAATTAAGTTATCTTCCCGCTTGGTGACCGCTTGTTGCAAAGTGGGTCTTGCAGTTCGTAACCCATTTCAACTTTTCAGTGGCGGGATAAAGCTCACGCCTGATTCCTCTAGAGCAGCTGTCGCACTTGTGCGATGTCTGGCTACCCGAGAGAACCATTTTTCTTCCTGCGATTAAAAGCTGAACTTCTCACTAATTAATCTCCGCTGGGGCAGGTTGGAAACTTTGCCTGAGCGTCGCCTGAGTGACAGCTCGAATTATTTATGCCGCTCAGCTCGTGGCTCCCTCATTAAAGCAACCCGACATGTTGTGATAAGTTCTCCTGCTCTTTTTTCAGTTGTCAAGACCATCAAGAGACGCGGACGATCACAGAATACCAGCGGAATCGTAACGAACACGGCGGGACCGTCACGGAAGCCCGGACCCACCTCGGATCCCACTGTGAGCACATTGTGCATCGTGAGCACATCGTGAGCACACTGTGCGCTAAGTCAAGCTGACGGAGCGAAACCACGCAGTGCTGTCGGAGTGCCGGAGTGCCCTGTAGAGCTCGGGAGCGGCTCCACGCCCTGCGCGGCGGTCGCCGAGCGCCTCGATCATCACAGGGTTGTGGACGGCAGGACGCGTCGGCAAGACGAAGCTGATTGGTTCGGCGTAACGAGAGTGCCGCACGCGGCCCTCGCGCGCCCCATCGGTTCCACCACGAGACTTCGGCCACACCAGCGGCCAGTGACCGGGCGGCCCCCGAACGAATGACCTGGTGACTGACTGACTTTGCCGTCAGTGACCGGAGGTCATTTATGCCATGAAGCCGTGACGGAGTACGGCATGAATCATGACATTTACAGCCTATTTCTGGTATCTTAGCTGACAGTTACCAGTGGCCAAGTGATGTGTTGACACTCGCGTGGCATTCTCCGTTTTTAACAGTTTATGAGCCGAATTATCGCTAATCAGCTGTCCATTACCCACTTGATGGTGATTTGCCCAGCATGGCCAGCGGCCAGTAATTCCAGTAGCTCTAATGCCCAGTGACACAAGCGGGCCTAGTCACCACTGACGCCAGTGGCCCAGTGATACAAGCGGGCCTAGTCACCACTGACGCCAGTGGGCCAGTGACGCAAGCGGGCCTAATCACCACTGACGCCAGCGGCCAAGTGACACAAACGGGCCTGATCACCACTGATACCAGCGGCCCAGTAACCAGTGACACAACTGGCATCAGTGACTGCACCTTCCGTTGCCACCACGGGAGCACCACCGGCACAAAAGACACCACCCTCAGCAGTGACCTCAGTGGCGGTGCCGTCTGTAAGTGGTCCCAGTGACCTCGCTGGTGGCCGTGGCCTGACACCATGGATTCGAACGCGCCGACCGGTTGCTGTCTGGACGCGGCCAACGACTCGTGCGTGCTGGCCAACGGCACAGCCTGCACGGACGGCGGCCAGACGGCGGAGGAGCGCTCTTTCGACATGCCCTGGTGGGCCTTACTCGTCTGGAGCGTGGCCTTCGTGGTGATGCTCACCATCGCCATCGGTGGCAACAGCCTGGTGTGCTGGATCATCCTAGGTGAGGCCTCGCAGTCCGCGGCTGATTGTGTTGTCAGCAGGGGACGGTGTGTTACTCTCTCTCCTCTCTCTCTCTCTAGAGAGCGCGAGAGAGCTCAGATAGAGAGATCGACGATAGCGCGAGATCGAGATCGACTCGCGCGACTAGAGATCTCGAGATCTATCTCTCTCCTCATAGCTCTCTCTCTCTCTCTCTCTCTCTCTCGCTCTCTCTCCTCTATCTCTCTCTCTCCCTCTCTATCTCTCTCTCTTCTCTATTTCTCTTCTCTCTCTCTCTCTCTCTCTCTCTCTCTCTCTCTCTCCTCTACTTGTTCACTTCCTCCCTCAGCATTTCATTTCCCTCCGTCATGCATGACAATCCATATATTATCTCAATCAGTCATTGAGCATTGTCATAACAGTGGAAGGTTCGAGATGCATATTCAGACCACGGGGAGAGAGATAAATGGTGTGAAGCATTACATCTCCAAAATCGTTTCGTGAGATATCAGTTCTCGACCAAACAAAACACTCACACAGTGCACTAGCTTGTTCGCGTGAAATATGAAGGTGGGCAGCTGGTCACGTGGACTTTGGTCAAAAGTGTGGTTTCATGGCCATTTGGGATCTCCGACTTCTCAATTTTCACTGCTCAACCCCCTCCCCTCCCCCCCTTTCTTCGGACCTACGCCCCTGATTACAGTACGGTGAGCAAGCCGCTAAGGAACTGGTGCTGCACCGCACGTCGGTTTATTAGTCTTACTTTGGAAGTCGCTGGGGAGCCTTCTGGGCTGCCCCGCGCAGGGAATGATGCATTTTAAACAGGTGATGCACATTAACGGCGGGCTGCATCCGATATAGTACTGATATTCTCGTGACACAAGGCTTCAGCCCAGACAAAGCTAAAGGATGTCAGCTTCAGTTTGCAGCCTGGGCTGATACGCTGCAATATGTCATTTTAAGTTCGTCGTGGGAAAGGTGGGCATATGCGTTTATCTTTCTGCCCGAGCGAGAGGCCGTGTTGATAGGTATCCCTGGCTGACCACGTGTCGGGAAGTCGGTCAGGGTGACAGGTCCCTTGATCAATCACCGGGATTGGTGTGGATGTTCAACTCCAGCGAGACTGAGGCGCTCGTTAAAGGGCCACCACAGCTGACCTTGAGAAGTGTTGGCAGATTGCATGATCAGAGTACAGTGCTATTCAGGCCGCTCGCCAAACCGGCTTCTGTAGCATTGACAACGCAATCTTTGTCTACTCCTCCCAACAATTTTAGCTCAGCCCAACCAGGTCGTGCCAAAGGCGTTGCCAAGGTAGTCTGCAGTTATTCACTGGTAAACATCCATCATCCATGGTTTACCATGACCCCGCGTGACAACGATTATCCTAAGGATAAACGTGGTTTGCCGCCTTCGCTAACTTTAGCTCCGAATTGATTTATTCTATTACCTGAACGGTAGTATAGTAACGACCGACAACTCTGACAACAACGGCGGGGGCTTCACGCTGAGTGTATAGCTGGAGCACATAAACGAACCACCATGTGTATTGTTTAAGTTCCTCCAAATGCCGCAAGCACCTTCACGTACCGTAAGTGTAGGCGGGTTTTAGAAGATGACAGGATGTGATTGAAGTAGAACAAGGGTTCATCCATTTTGTTGTCACGTAGAATTATATTTGCCATGAAATGAGATTTGTTATACTAATTTTGCCCCCTCTCTCTCCAAAAGTGGTCGATATATATATATATATATATATATATATATATATATATATATATATATATATATATATACGATATAATATATATAATATATATATATATATATATATATATATATATGTCTTATTTGATGAACACAGCTTGGCTTATAGCTATTCTTGTTAGTATGTTGTCCAGTTCTTAATTATTGTGCTCTGGCTGCTTGTATTGTGGATGCATGGAAAGCTCCTTATTTTCTCCACCATTTTCCCGGCGACAATTCCGTTATAGCGTCATACTGCTCAGCACTTCATCGCAAAAGCGATGGCCGTAATACCCTAATCTAAACCACATTGGTGACGTTTTTATCCGAATTGCGATAGCTATTCCTATTGTAAAAGATCCCTTAAGTTCAAACCCAAACATGAGCTGCTGATTGGTTGCATTCACGTCTCAGACCAAAGTAAATCGAAGCTGGTTGTCGACAAGGGCCTGTTTTTCCTTCATTTACGGCGCTGATCTGTGAGACAATTGCTCAAGATTTCCGGCTTCTTGTGTTTGTCTTCTCCGTTGCAAATTGGGGCTCCGCAGTGCGTGTTGGGTTGGCAAATACGCGCTGAGTGGAGGCGCATTTGGCAGCCGGCTGTGGATCTGCTTCCAACTTGTTCCCCGCAAAGTCGATCTCGGCAGCTGTGGCGATTAGTATGGCTTGTCTCGCCAGTCACCAAGCGTCATATGAGGCGTGCAATGCCTTGCCAGTGTGAGAACTCTCTTGGTTTGACCCTGGGTCGTCTTGGGCCCGTTACGGGTGCTGTGCAGGGATCGATGCCGGCGGCGTGCTTATGACCAATAGCTGCGACTTCTGGTTAATTTGAAGGAGCTGTGCTTAACTGATGATTGGAGGCATTGATCTATCGATTCATCGCATTCATTATTGCTGTCAGTTTGCAATACCTCGCTCGTCGGTAACTCAAGTTGCAGAGCATTCTTTCTGTGTCACGGATCGCGTGTGCAGCGACCGATCTGATGTAAATCTTCCACTAAATTAGATCTAGTGATAGTGATAGATGATAGTGATATCCAAGATCTAGCGAAGAGCTCCGTGTCATGTGAAGTCGAGCGCAAATTCCGCAAAGAACGCTGCAGAGCGACATGGCGATCTTCGCGGATATTGTTGTCTCATTTCGGATACGATCAGCTCTCCTCACCATGTGCTCTACATACATGCAAGATATCTCTGAGTGTCCATTTCGACTGGTTTCTTCCCAAGCAGCGGCGCCAGTACATCGCGCCATATTAGTGCGGAGGGGCCGCCCAGCGCCGCGCTCCGGCAAGCCGCAGCCCACCCGCATGCTCTGTTTGGCGCTGACGTGGCAAAAAAACAACCAGCGCTGTCGCACAATAACGCCAACCCCCTCCAGCGGGCTGAGGCGCCGTCCTGCTGGGGCCAGGCATCCATCACGTGCGGCCCAACGTGCGAGTAGCTACGATCGTGGACGCTGGCCGTGCTGGACAGGCGTCTCCGGTCAGCGGCTGGTGCACTTGACGTGAGGGGTCAGCAGCTGGTGCACTTGACGTGAGAGGTCAGGGGGTGGTGTACCTAACGTGATGGGCCAGCGGCTAGTGTATCTGACGTGGGAGGCCAGCACCCGGTGTACCTGACGTGGTTCATGACGTGGGAGACCAGCGGCTGGTGTACCTGACGTGGGAGGCCAGCGGCTGGTGCACCTGACGTGGGAGGCCACCAGCTGGCGTATCTGATGTGAGAGGCCAGCAGCTGGTTTACCTAATGTGGGAGGCTAGCGACTAGTGTACCTGACGTGGGAGGCCAGCAACTGGTGTACCTGATGTGGGAGGCCAGCAGCTGGAGAGGATACGCCGATTACTCTAACCTTAGCCCCGCGCTCCATGGACAATTACGCACCATCTGCTAGATGATTGGACATAGAAAACTGCGACAAAAAAAACATGTTTCCTGCGGGATCCCGGGGCAATATCCGTTAGGAACCCATGATAACTATTTTGTGGAAGGCGCACAGCATATTTCCTGTTGAAAAACTTATCAGGTGCAGTTGAAGATTACTCGCCAGCACGTCAGGAGCCTGCAGCAACACAAATAAGCGAAGGGAGCGAGTAGCTTGTGTGACGCCCGAAATATTAACCTTCGGTCCTTAACGTCTGGTGTGTTCTGATGTGTTCTGGTGTTCACAGTGTGTGAAATATGTAGGCGTGCTTATGAATTTAGGATGGTTATGGATCCAGTGCTGGCCTGGAAGTTGCACGTGAGCAAACATCACTAGGCGCTGTTTTGGCACCAGTGTCGATCTCCTCGATTATTGATTCGATATCAAATACGTGTTGCCTGTCGGTGTCTCCCTCTCATTATTGTCTCGCTTGTGTTCTCCCATGTCCATTAACGCGGTCAGGTTTATGTTAAAGCGAACCGCACGACTGTGATTCTAAAAACTCTGGCGTCATAACAATATTTATGTCGTAAACAAACGATGACGTATTGAGGACCAGATTTACTACATGTTGTAATTGTATTATCTAGAGCAGTCTTTCGCACTTAAAACGTGCCAATATGTACAAGTAAATTTCTCCCACCACATTGGCCTCGATATCTTCAAAACGGGATCATTCTCTTTAAGGAATGTCCCGCGTTGAGATAACGAAGCTCTTTTTTACTTTGCTGACGGCCTTTTCAGAATGCAAACAATTTCATTAGCGTTTCTCTAAATTTTCTCATTGGCTGTCATTGATAAGCTTATGATCTTTAAACTTTGGGAGAATGGATGGAAAACGGTATAAGGAAGAAGACACCAGCCAGTGAAACATTACGTTCTCATGTGAAGGCATTTAAAGGGAGTGTTTCACATTTATGTGGGGTTGTGAACTGAAATAGCCCTCTTGAAGACCTTTGGATGCTGTCCATAACCTTGCCCTTCTTAATGCCTAAACCCCTCTAATTTCTGGGCTACGTGCCCGCGAAAATGGAGATAGGTATATCGGGAAGAGTATTTCAAAGTCACCTTGGCAATCATGTCATAGCATCTTTCAAATCCTGTCTTTCCACTGGCCATGCGGTGATCAAGGCTAAATAAATATAATTGTTGAGGCGTCCATATCTGGCGTTCGTGATCGCGATGTAACAGCCGTGAATTGGCTCTCAATCAAAGTTTTGCAACTTACGATGACGTAATCAAACTATGACGCATTGGGGAACATATCTACCAAACAGAGAATTGTGCTGTCTAGAATAGTTTTTCACTTAAAAAGAATACCAATAGTCGTAAGTTAGCTTATTTCACACATCTGATGCTTGCTTTAGTGTCTGCAAATGTGAAACATTTCCGTGAATGTAACGGTCTGTTGCCAAGCGAAGGTACGCTCCTGTTCGCGTGCTTGGTTGCGTATTGCATGGATGGATGCGTGAATTCAGTATAACGACAGGGTTTTAGTGGAAGGTTTTGCTGCTTTCATTTCATAAGCGTACAAAATTGATTTGTTTTTGTCTTTTCCTCTGTGTGAATACCATGCTCGTTGGTGTCAAGTAAGTAGAATGGCACATGCTTTGTGATGATGAAATCCGCGTTCTATACTTTGTCCCCTCGTGTGTGTGTGTGTGTGTGTGTGTGTGTGTGTGTGTGTGTGTGTGTGTGTGTGTGTGTGTGTGTGTGTGTGTGTGTGTGTGTGTGTGTGTGTGTGTGCGTGCTCGCGTGCATGTGCGTGCGTGCGTGCATGCGTGTGTGCGTGTGCGTGCGTGCCTGCGCGCGTGCGTGTGATTGGGGCTTTACGATGCACCCAGTTGCTGAGGCTATATGACGTCACCTGTCTCTCTCCATAGCAGAAGGGGTAGACACTTTGGGGAACCTAACCCTGTGCCCCTGGTTTCCCAGACGCGCGGCTGAGCCATCACGTTATCCGCACCCAATTACCCAATTCGCACCCTTGTTCGCAGTGTCCATCGACAGAGAGGTAGGCCTGCCACACCTGGTGTCGACGTGATTACGCTGATGATGCAAAATAAGAAACATTGCATACCCAAACATACTTCTTATAATCATATACGTTATTCGGGAACTTAGTCCTCCGATTAGGTAACGAGTGTGACTCCTAGACAGAGCGCATCGGTTTCGGATCCCACCACAGGAAGCAGTTGAACGACTACATAGACCGTCATGATTCGAGACTCGTCATTGTTTTACCCACGCCCCATCTGCGATCGTTCACTACGCCGCCTGCCAAGCCGGCTGTGACGGGATCGACGGAGCGCCAGTCCGGCGGTAGGACTGGCGCCCACGACAAGACGCTGGTGTTCAGCGAGCCCTAAACAGCTGAGATCCGGCTGGAACTCACAAGACGCTGTCATCTAACAAGCCCCCAACAGCTGAGGTCTGGCTAGAACTCACGACAAGATGCCGGCGTTCAGTGAGCCTTCAACAGCTGAGGTCCGGTTGGATCTAACGACAAGACGCTGTCGTCTGTCGAGCCCTCAACAACTGAGGTCTGGCTAGAACTCACGACAAGACGCCGGCGTTCAGTGAGCCTTCAACAGCTGATGTCCGGCTGGAGCACACTACAAGACGCTGTCATCTATCGAGCCCTCAACAACTGAGGCCTGGCTGGAGCACACTACAAGACGCTGTCATCTATCGAGCCCACAACAACTGAGGCCTGCCTGGAGCTCACGACAAAATGTCACGTCCAGCGAACGCTCATGGCTACCCTCTGGATGGGGAAATGCCGGTGACTGAGGCAGCTGGAGGTTGCAAAAAGTAACGATTAAGAGTAACTAAGCGGCAAGTCGTATTAGGGGTTATGAGACGGGGCATACAGGACATTATTTTATGACGGGCATTTTGACAGACATTTCGACGCAACATATAACATACATGACGTCATTTGACGTTATAGGAGTCGATCCGTCTGATTGGAAGTGGGTTTTACGTCATCCGTCTGGCCGAATGGAGGCAGCGTGATCAGCTTAGATGAACTCATACGTTTTACAACCAGAGCATTGCTTGTGTTGGTTCTGGACGTCTACTAAGGAATACGAGTGGCCTTAAGGAAACAAGTATCGAACTTGCGACCTTGGCAGCATTGCCTGTTTGAAGCCAGGGTTGCTCATTTTACCGTACAGTCATGCACGGAACATAAGGTGTGGGATCTAAATTACACTATGTTCGCGGCATTCCATCGGCGTGTAATTAGCTGTGCGGCGATTGGTCTACCTGATGGCTCCGATCGTTTACATACCAAATTAGCTATACTGGTATCAACTCGAACCCTAAAGATGATATGCATGGGTCGATGTCAGTTAACAGGTCTATATAATTTCCCGCACAGTGATTACGGAGACGCGACTACGCCAGTGGGTATCTGCAGTGGCGCCCAATCTAGGCAGACCCATGTCATAAACTGGTGTTGAGTCCTTATCAGTTTGATGGACACTGTTGGGAATCTGACCAAGCCAGCTGATTGTCGCACCAGTTGTCGATTTGTATGCTCGAAGACGCCATCTTGGTTTTCGGTGGTGGGCCACATTCCAACACCGAGCTGTGCGGTCAGCATAGTCAACTCAGAAGCAGCCAACATAGTCAATATGGAAACATCCAGCATGGCCAACACGGAAACAGTCCACATAGTTAACACGGAAGCAGTCAGCATAGTCAAAACGAAACGGTGTTTTCCAAAGGACGCTGGAGCTTACAAGATGCCACTTACCGAAGCGTAAACATGTGTCACACTCAATGCTGTTAAGCAACGGCCGTGACTGGTAAACTGGAGCCTGATCAGAGCGGACGGCTCTGAACAGGGAACCGGCTCTGAGCGGCGGATCGGAGCGGCTCTGAGAACCGCGCCCCGTCCTGGGTCCTGGCAACTTACAGCTGTGTCCGATAACTCACAAATACATATCTGTGCTCTCAGAGGAGACCGAGCATCCAGGAAAAATCTTTGTCATACCCTGGTGTGTTTACCATCTCATCCATCCGGACAAAAGGGACGCTAATCACGTTACCGACAATGAAATAATTCTTACTAGTCAGATGAGGACGGCTATGTGAGAGTCTTCCGGTCTCAGATCTCAAGCTTCAGCTATTCTCCCAAACATCTAATTAGTGACAAGTAATTTCATCGCTCCAACGGATGGTGATTGTATAATTCTTCTCAGTCTGGAGAGCAATTGGGGCCACATTGAAACCGGGAGCCAGCTACGCACGGCTTGAAGGGGCCTCTTTTGCTCTGGCTGTTGACTTAAGTTCCGCCGGGACAGGCCATTGGTGCAGGGCTTTCTCCGCATTGGAAGCTCTCTAACCGTTCAGCGCATCGTGATGCAATTCTGGCTCACTAATGTTATGCACTTTGTGCGTGTGACCCGAAGGTTTTGGGTTCTCGCCATCTCGGGCCACTGACCTGGGACTTCACGCCACGAATCCCATACGACGAAAGCATGAAAAAGGCAATGTTTAGCCGCCTACTTAAAACCCTGTATGTAGAGCTCCTGGTCTCCAAGGGAATACCCAGCGAGGGAGAGTACGACCGGATCACGCCGAGGCAGGTTGTTCGCTGTTTCCAGTGGGTTTTAGCTGTCTTTTACGGCTTGGTCCGCGCACTGGAAGGCTGGGACAAACATGAGGAAAGGAGGGGAAAGGGTGGAGGAGGCACTCCAAGAGACAAGCCCAAAGATACAGACACGACAGAAAACATCCCTTACAGCCTTCATTGGGCTCCAAAGCACGCAATGCATGCCACATGGAGCGGTTCCCGTAAAGCCGTTCTACCAGTGATAAAACCGCACTCCAATATCCGCAGTGTAACCCAGCCAACCGTTGTCGGGCAGCCAGAACATGCTGACTTTAGTGGTTCCTCATTGTCCGGCAGGTCATCAACATATGCGGACTGTGACCAACTACTTCCTGGTGAACCTCAGCGTCGCCAACCTTCTGATGTCGACCCTCAACTGCACCTTCAACTTCGTCTACATGGTCAACGCCGACTGGCCGTTCGGACTCACATACTGCATCATCAACAACTTCTTCGCCAACTTCACCGTGTCTGCCAGTGTTTCTAACGCTGATGGCAGTCGCCTTCGAAAGGTCAGTCTTTGTGGGCGTCACAAACTTGAACGGCCTGCTTTCTCTACTAGGTGCCTGTCCGTGAAGGCCGCCGCAGAGATACGCAGGGGTTCTGTATAAGCGAATCCTATGGCTTATGCAAACATGTAGAGATAACTTAGTGTCTTATGATAGTCCGTTTGGTTACAACATATAACTCCAATACACTTGTACTTTTCATTTTGTCATAGGCTGAAATTTCGTGATAAAGAAAGTATGAATAAAGGACACAGGTCGACAGCAGGTATCACTTGTGGTATTTCTCATCCTGCGATAGCCAAAAGCCTTGTTAGATGAAGTTTCGTGCGCTTTACAGCCAACCTGAAAGTCTACTGCGACAGTGGTCTATGCGGATACATTAACCAACGCAGATTCCAGAGTATTTAGACCCGAATTTTTTGTATCGATAGGCTGAGAAACGCCACAGACGCTAAGCAAGCTGGACTAGCCGAACTTAGCAAAACACTTTTGGTTTGGCCAGGCCTGGCTATTTCAATCGATAAAATCGATGAAATAAAATCGATAAAGTTGTGATTCCAGCCTTACATAGATAACTCTTGCCAAAGGATTAGCCCTCGTCCTGCTTCGCCGTTTTTCATGACGCGGATGATAGGAGTTCGATGCCCCTCCCTGCCTTTTTGAATCGGTGCAGCGAAATCTCGCGATTGGTAACACTGTTATAATTTTGTGCCATTTTTTCGAAAATCGAACGCTATCCGCTTTAGATGCTTACATGTATGCAACCATGTCTCGTCGCAACACAAGACGTGCACAGGTGTGTTCCTTGTCCAATTCTGGGTGAAATGGTATGCAACGAATGTGTTTTGAGCGTATATTTATGATGAAGGGTTACGTTAGTGTAACAGTGTCACCCCACCGCGCGCGTTCCGTGGAATCATCGACAGCCGGTGTCATGACATCAGTGCTGCGGCAAAAACTTCTCCCGACCAGACTGCTTTGACATAAATTACACGCGATATTACTTCTGCTGCAAAACTCCTAGACGACATGAGTACATCAGTCATTACCTCCACAGCAAAGATCTGCCCATAAGTCTTTGCTGAAGAACTTATATCGCGAATGACTGTTTTGTCGTATAGTACTTACGTTGTGTAGAAGATTGTTGGGTAGAGATAATGTCGTGTATAAGTGATGAATGTATAACTTTTTCAGTAGACGTAATGACGAGATTTTCCAAGTTTTTGCGGGATGAGTTTTGTCGCATAACACTTAATCTGTGGATCAGCATTGGCAGTCGAAGTAATGGCGCAGCACCCATGTCAGTAAGCACAAATAGCGGGGAACCTCGGTTGCTGCTCGCCGCCCACGCCAGCCGTAGATCACCGTGCATGCTCCTCAAAAACCGCCGCTGCTCCGAAACCAGTCCTAAAAATGTCACATCATGGTCGAATTGCACGTGCGTGTGCCCGTGACCGGCTGCACGTGCACGCACGCGCACTTGACTAGCCATAGGCATGATGTGCGATTGGGGCTTAACAATGCACTCAGCTGCTGGTGCTAATGCAACGCCGCCTGCTTCTCACCCTGGCAGGCAGGACGGACAACGTGGAAGATCGAGCCCCCAGCTCTGGCTTTCCAGACGCGCTGCTTTAGGCCTCGGGTGTTGGCATATACTTTTGCCAGTGCGAATATCCGTCTCCTTCCAGTCGAGCGTCTTTGATTTCATGTCGGTGCGACGCCGGGTCTACGAGATCCGAACCGGGCTCAGGCGGATGCTGTGCATCTTTTGCGGTTAGCCAGCTCAATTCTTTTCCGTTCTGACCGAACTAATATTCCCTTCCAACCAAAAGGAAGGCTATGTTTTTCGCGTTGCAATGTTGCACCAAAATCACGTCTAGTGAAATAGCTCAATGCAAGCGTCCTAAAACTTAAAGAGCGCAAAAGCAAAATATTTTTGGCGCGGTAATCTGCATAAGTTGCGATCTGGACTTGCACAAGCATTAAATTCAAAAACACATAATGGCTAGACCAAGCTGAACCATCAAAGTTTAAATTGTTCACTGTTCGCCTAATTCTGCCGGGTCTGTAATCTCACTGGTAACAAGTGCATTATTTTGTATGAAGATTTTCCAATGAAGGCTTCCTACATACCATACAACCAAGCAGTGATAGCACTGAAAAGAAAAGCGCCACCTGAAGCGATGTTTTAATGTTAGAGAAGTGACAAATAAGTGGCCGAATCCGGGGGGACATGTGGCTATGGCGGTAACTGAAGTCGAATATTCCAAACTGACCCCTCATCCTTACTTCTGCGAAACCATACCTATGTCATTGGGATCGCCAAGCAAGTTTGAAACCTGTAGGGATTCAGCAACTTTTACAGAACATCATTGATTGAATATTTATTAACGTGAACTCGCTTCAGTGTGGTCTCGCTGGATATCAGAACCTCATCCATTGCTGAGTTCACTGAAGCACCTGAAGTGAGTTTTCATAATTCATTAACGGGGCTGAGTTGGTAGATCTACCAGGAACTTTAAGACTGTAAGTCGTTTTGTGCTGCGATGTCCGCAAGGAAATTGCGTTTTGATCACAAACTATTTGTGGCCTCGTATAAAAGCAGGAATGTTGGTAGGATATAGCTTGCTAGTAAAGCCTTAATCATTAAATATGCAATCGGGAGAACGATTCCCGGTAGGCTCAGAGACCAACAGAACGATGATAGATATCAAGCTGATACTCATGCGCGGCGGCGGAACACCCTGTTCTGCTTTTCTTGCATAACATTAACTTGTGACTTAAACTTGACGAATTTATGAGGCCGATGAGAAGGTCTTGACCAGGAACAGCTTTCCAGTGCGCAGCTGGCTGTGTCGGTTGATAAATGCCCCTGAAGGACCTCCCGAACCCTTGGCCGGAAAACTCAGAGAACTGCTGCCCAGTCGATACTTAGCTAACGAGAAATATATACGATGACTCAACGTCGGTCTAGACGGAGCGCAGCCGGCGCGAGGCAGACACTACTCGTACCCTCATCGGTGCCAGCCGGCAGGGCTGTGGACCCTCGGGGAGGGCCACCGCCGGCTACAGTAGGTCAGCAAGGGTCAGCCCGCGCTGCTCTGGGGCCGCACCGGAGCCAGAGCTGGGCGTGCGCCGCTCGAGACTGGCGGGGCAGCGGGTCGTCTTCCGTAACCAGCGGTGTTCAATAACTCGCCATTTGTGTGCATTAATAAACATGCTACCCGTTACGTTTTATCCCAGAATCATACGAGTGGTGTTAAATGTTTTGCTCTGCTGTCGTCGGCTGAAAAGTAGCGTGCTAACACAATGGGCAGCGTCAATGGACTGATACGCGCTGTGAGTACTAATTATATAATGGATAAGCCCCTTGAAGCCTTTTGCAACATGAAGCCTGTCATCAAAGCAAGCTGCTGACTGACACAACCCAATGGTGCAAATTATTGCTGAGCCCGTATAAAAACTCCCCCGCGTTTTTTGCTCAAGCCATTGTTTCGTTTTCATAGATAAGACAATAGTATAAGCCTTATTCCTCGGAGAAACCATGAGACTGGAGATGTAGTTGGAATGATATTTCTGCAGCATGCCTTTACCAAAACAAGCACTATTATATTTCCGTTCTCCTGGTTTTCCCCGAGGAACAAGGTTAACACTATTGTCTTATATATGTGAGTAATGTTCCTTAGTAATGCACTGAACAACTTACGTAATTGTTTCAGTTTCGTTTGTGTTTGCAAATCCTGGTATCGTTGGGAAATGATCTGATCACCAGCTGAAGTGATCACTGAATATCGCTTGGTCTTGCCGGACAGGTCCATGGTGTTGACGGCAGGCATGAGAACAAATTTCTCACACCTTGCTGTTCTCCTTCAACAGCTCCGTCATCCCCGAAGCCGTTAGCTGTTAGCCGCGCCCTACCAGCGCAGCATGTTCCATTACCGCCTGTGCCAGGTGATCCGACGGAGGAGACACAGAGCGTAGGCTCTTGGACTGTTTGCCCTTCCATTGTGATCAAAGGAAGCGTGCGTGTGAACACATAACGAGCAGCTGTAATGGGCTGTCACCTGCGATGACAGCGCCAGGGCGTAACCGGCAAGCCAATCAGCGGGTGCATTAACATAGCCTTTGAATTCCGCGGTACGCGAGGCCAACTCCGGGATCCGGGACCGATTGCTGATCTGACCGGCCGCGGCTAGAAACGTCCGGTCCGAGACCGATTGCTGGTCCGACCGGCCGCGGCTAGAAACGTCCGGTCCGAGACCGATTGCTCATCTGACCAGGCGCGGCTAGAAACGTCCGGTCCGAGCGATGCTAAATTTTTCGATGCGTAATTTTCCATTTATTTGAAATGTTGTTTCCATACCATTTCACCCAGACCGGCCTTCCGCGATGTTCTGGGCGTCGACAGCGTACCGAGTCTGTCTACGGCTCCCTACGTCGGTCTGTGCCACCGCTGGTTGGTACGCCAATATATCTTTGTGAAGTGTGCAGCTTACATATTTTATTTCTGCGATTCTTCTCGCGCACCGCGTAAAGGTGCTAGACTAGCGGGGAAAATGGACGAGTAAGAAAATGACATCTACTTCTCGAGTTGGTGTGACTGTTGATGTGTCCAGATGGCAACCTCCAAATTGCTATTCATATATACATATATATATATATATATATATATATAGCAATTCATATACATTTAATTGTATATATAGCATGTTTTATATTTCATTGTATATATATATATATATATATATATATATATATATATATAGATGATATGCATAATACGTTTCTGTCCGGCCTTTAAGCGGTGTCAACTGCTTTTGAAAGGCCTTCGAAACCATTATTTCGTGACGATTGCTCACGCGCGTCTGGCACCCGCTTCCTGGTGCTATCTGCAGCGGCCAACGCCGTTCAGTGTAACCGAATCGTTAGAACCCCGGTCATCGTTGCTCTTTCTCCTAAGATCGTTAGCTTAAACATCCAATGTTGTACGCAATTTGTTTTAC